AGTCCTGGGATGCCTTCTGCTATTCTGACAATTTCCTACTTTAGCTTCTCTCTGATGTTTATCACTGATGAAATGAAAAGCAGCAAACAGGCTACCAAACAGCTCAGCTTTCTTTGGTTTTCATGTCAAGTGATTTTTTTGGGATGGGTTGTGTAGCAATATGTTGTGTCCCTTCCTTAAGGATACAGAGGAGGAGCATCTCTGCAGCAAGCACCGCTATGCTCCCAGCAGAGCTGCCCTCTTCCAGCAGGAAACCTCCCAACACCACCGTGCCTTCCCCTCACAAACACTGCCTGTACCAGAGCTTGGTAAGCAGCAAATTATACTGCACTAATAAACAAAAACTTCTCAGCAAAGTACCTGATTTGGTTCCATCTAGTTTGATGAAAAGAGGTTTATTAAGTCAATTTCCTTACCTAGAGATTTGCTGAGTATGTTCCTGCAATGCCACATGTTGAATGTCCTTCTAAAGGCTTGTGCAAGAACATCTGTGAACCTCCTGTGTCAGGCACATCTCATCAATGGTATTAGTCCCTTACTGAACAGCAAATGTGTTTTCTCTTGGGTTGGTGCAGAGTCTAGCAACATGAAAGCTGAACTGGAAATAACTCATGAGGAAAAGCTTGCCCAAAGAATCATTTTCTACAAGTAAACAGCAATTCTAGACCCAAGAAAGGATATGAACAAAACCAAATTAATCAAATGAATCAATATTTTAAGTTAGCAAATTGCTCTGATTTTAGAAACTGTGTCAGTTTCTTGGGGCTTTACAGAGGCCAACTGGTAGCAATAATCAGCAACAAATGACCTCACCAGCACAATGAAAAATGAGCAGCCTGCGTTTCCAGACCTGTACAGAACTGGGTTGATCTGTACCCATTTGGGTCAGAGAACGAGATTTCCCCAACTCAAGGAGCAGCTGCCTGTTTGCTAACATCCAGCTTTATAGCAGCTTTTCTGGCAGGCTGATCTCCTGCAGCTGCCAAACTGGAGGAGAAAGAGATACTGATGCTTTCTACCAACTCCTGGCTGGAAATTTTCCTCAACTACAGAAAGCCAAAGCATTTAGTGTACTCTTCTTGTCTCACAGAGACACTAAAAGAACTGAAGTGTTATTTAATATTGTAATTGATTATCAGGGTTTTGAACATTAAAATTTAAATGACAGAAATCTGAAAGCTGCTTTTGATGCAGATGTAAGTGAGCCTTTCCAGTGGTTTTCTGCTTCTCATACACATATGCTTGCAGCACCCAATTGCAGTGTGAGCACATCTATGACAAAATAGATGAGCACACTGTAAAGACTATTTAGACTGCCTGGCTGAAGGTGCTAGGAGACCATGGTTCCTTCTAGGTTCTATCTACTTCTAGCTGCTTGCCACCTCATAAAGCACAGCAGAGAGAAAACAGTCCAGGACATTCCTGGAGTGTGGAAGAAAACTTCCTAACAGAGCTGATGAAGGAGCCAATTAGGGAGGACACCCTATTTGTGAACAGAAAAGGACTGTTGGAAACCATCTGGGGCATGCAGTCATGAAATGAGTTTTTGATTCTCAGGAAGGGAGCAGGTGGAGGAGTAGGAGGGAGATGTGTCCAGCAGAACTGCCACATTGGATACCTACTGACAGATTTTGGACTGTTTAGGAGCCTGGTTGATTCCACTGCTTCAGAAGCAGTCCTGAGGGGAAAACAAGTCCAGGCAGGCTAGGCATTCTTCAAGAAGGGTCTAGAGCACAAGTTTTATGAGAAGCAGCTAATGGAACTGGGGTTGTTTTGCCAGGAGAAAAGGATGCTCAGTGGGGGACCTCATTGCTCTCTGCAACAACCTGAAAGCAGCTTGTAATGAGGTGAGAGTCAGTTTCTTCTCCCAGGTAACAAACAAGAGGAAAAGGCCTCATGTTTTGCCAGGGGAAGCTTTAGATTGGAGACTTGGAAAATTTTATTCACCAAAAGGGTTGTGAACCATTGGAAGAGGCTGCTCAGAGGAGTGGTGGAGTCACCATTCCTGGAGCTATTGGAAGGATGTGTAGATGTGCCCAGGGACAGGATTTAATGGTGGACTGGGTAGTGCCAGGCTAACAGCTGGACCCAGTCTTACAGCTCTGAGTTTAAGAATCACAGTCCCTGGGTGCTCACAGCTTTGAACAGCTAAGCCTTTTTTCAAGCACAGAAAGCCTCTTCTGACTTGTGAGAGCAGCTGTGATCTCAGCATTTGCTTCCTGTACTTTGCTGCTTACTCAGACACCCTACATTGTCCCTTCCAGCCAGGGAAGGGATACAAGAGAGGTGCTCAGAGGTCCAGCTGGGCTGCAGAACAATGCTTATTCCCCTTTTCCCTCTGCTATCTATCGGGCAGCTGGATACATGCCCCAGGGTAGAGGCCTGTGTTAGCACTGATGCTGGGGATCACAGAGGCACCTGCTGGAGGGAGGAAGCAGGGACATGGAACAGCAGTTACTGAAGGGAATGCTGTAAAGATGGCCTTTCAAACAATGGACGAAAAATAAATTTCCTTCTGTTCACCTACACCCTAGCAGACTTCACAGTCAATCCTCAAGGCTGATGAAATATTTTTTCCATACATCTCAGCAGTGTGGAGGTAGGAACAAGCAGTCCATCAGCACTGGCAGCACCAAAGTGCAAGGTAGAACATGAAGCACCAGACTTCTGGGATCAAAGTTTCCATCATCCATAGGCTTTTGATGTCTAAACACAACAGTCAACACATACAGAACCCTCAAGACCTGTTCACTTTCAATCTGAAAGTCAAAGGGGTTTTTCCAACATCTTGAACTATCACATTTAAGAACCACTTTAGTTTACCTGTCACATAAATACCAAGACACAGCATTTCTTGGATTATCAGTAACATCCATTCAAATTCATACAGCATCAGGAAAAATATAGGCAGAGAGTACTCAAAACTGATATTGCAGGATATGGTAAATTCACAGTGCACACCCTACCTAAGGATTTATCTTGTTAGCTTCATTCCATCCTTTTGTAACCTACAGATTGAAGCAAGAACTATATGACTGACATATTTCAATGCAGCAACTTTATTCAATTCCACTATTTAATAAAAATAGGAGAAAATACCACCCTATTTGTAATATGCAATCACATTTGCTGACAACTTCAACAGCTGCAGGCAACTCTGCAGACAAGGACTGCTCAGGGAACCACATTTCAGGGAAACAAAAATTTGAGATTCATGTGTGACATAGTTACAAAATATTACCAGCAGGCTATTTCCACAAAAACACTGCAAAATCTTTTTTTGCCAAAATGCTTGCAATCTTTTATCATCAATTAAAAATTTTTAGATTCTTCAAAGTTAGGTGTGAGCTGATGGCCCCTACTGTCCCTACACTATTTCTATTAGTGTAAATTTGTCTTAGAGCTGTGAATTGCTTATAGAAATGAGGTATTGACTGAATATATTTTGAGCATAATCTTTTTTTGTCATTACACATGACTTTGTTACAATTGTTTTCTATTTTGACAGACACTAGCTCAATTTTGTTCTATGCAGAATTCTGTTGTGTTCTGCCAGTCACTTGATATCAGGAAGTGTTTGCAGTGCACAGCAGTTTATTAGTTTTATTATATATAATAATATATATATAATATATATAATAATAACAGTTTATTAGCAGTAAAATAGGTAAAGACATATCTCAAGGGTAGTGGGACTTGTAAGAGCAAGTAATGACTGAGGATCTTCAGAACCATTCTTCCAAAAAAGGATTTTGAGATAGGACTCATCAAGGTAGAAACCCAAAGAATATAGAAAAATTACTTACAATCTGATGGTTTGAGTTACTACATATGGTATCATATATGTCATAAAGCAATTAAGTGATCCACTGCATTTAGTTAATATAAATGCAGTACTTCTGTTTTCTTCTTCATATCAAACAGGTTGCAATAAAAGTTAAAATATTCTGAAATAGCCAGCTTGCTTTATTTTTTTACTACTTTAATACTTACAGAACTATTTCTTCCAGTTGCCTGAGATTCTTCCAAGAAAACAAAAACCTGCAATGGTGTTTTTCCACACAATAATTATTTCATGGCTATTTTGAAAGACCAACTTTAAAGATGTAGATACTTTTAACATGAGTTAAGGGCTGTCTCCAAATGCATTAGAACAGCATAATGTTTTGCACTCTAAATTCATCTTATCTGTTCTGCAAAAGTATTACCAAAAGCTCCTCTATGCACATTTTCTTCATCACTTGAGTGCAGAAGTTTCATTACTAGATCATGAAAGACTTGGAGCAGCAGCAGATTCAACTCCCTGCCTTTCAAAAGCTTCAGCTAAATCCAAAGAAATTTTCAGGATTCTAGAGCTAGATAACTTGGATTCAATGATTCTTGTGGTCCTTTCCAAATCAGGATACTCTGCAATTCTGTGAATTTCCTTTGAATATCTTCAAGAGCACAGACTCATCCCAATTGAGGTAGCAGAAAACTCTGAGCCAGACAAGGCCTTGCACTGTAGAGTAACAGAAAAAATGAGAAGGCAAAAATGTACAGATGGGAATCAGGATATTCACCTAGACCTGGGAGAAAGCCTACAGTTGCTGTTCAGTGCCTAGTTGTGATCAAATAACCACACTGAAAAAAAAAAATCTATCAAGGACCATATTCTAGGGCTTCTCAGGCTGCACAGAAATCCCCTATTTCCCAGCAATGGTTTAGACTCCTGTCCTCCTTTTCTGTTTATAGTGTTGAGACAGCAACACTATAACAACAGGATCAATCTTTCCTTTCTATTGGATGAATTCTGCTACCTCCGTGGGAAGAGACCAAAAAAGCTTGAAAGAGCTAGTAGTGGGTGGAGTGCTTCTGTTTTCAGTCTGTTGTGCAACAGCACCATCCAGCTGTCAAACAAAAACATTATCAAACATTAATGCCACTATCCAGATTTGGTCCTTGTATCAAGCAAAATAAGTAATTACATGTATTTAGAAAAAAACAAAACCAAAACCCAACACACAGGACCCTTTCCCTGTTTCTTAATGAATTATATTGATCCACTGTGTTACACTTTCTGGGTTAACATACAAGGGTGTGCTTTAGGGAAATTAATAATGCAGCCCAGGTTTTGGGGTTTTTTGGTCCAGTAAAAGTGGCAGGCTGCAGCTTACCTCTGTTTCATGAAGTGTGGAATGTAAGCTCTCAGGTATGAGGAAAAGACCATTATCTTTGGCTCACAACCAAAGGTAGTTAATCACACTACAAAAATTAATGGAAAAATCTCAACTCGTAAGAGCCTATGTTTAAGCTATCACACTTTACCACTCGAGCTTCAGCAGTGAAAGCAAGAACAGCAACCTCAAGTGAGGGATAAAAATAATAAAAACTCATACTCAGTAACAGATCACTCCTGAGAGACATTACAACATGAGGAAGAAAACGCCTTGCTCCCTCAAGATTTTTTATAAACTCGTGTTATTTAACAGTAAGGAATATACAATGGAAATAAATTACATTCCCTACAACAGATTACTGATTACCTGAATTAAATCAACAAGGTCACTGCTTAAATTGCTCTCAGCTCTACACTAAACTGATTTTTGTTGTAACATCCACAGGGAGCTTGCCATGTACATCCACTGATGATCAGAAGTGTAATGTTAGACTGCTGTTCCTGCATTCCATGTGCCTTAGCCCATCCTGCAATCCCACATTCTGGCACTGACACCTGAAAGCAGTAACGTATCTCCTTTGCTGATTTTTTGAAGACCAGTGCTAGTTCTTTACAAACACTTTACAAAGCAACACAGGCCACCTATTAATGCCAAAAGATAGGCCAGTTATCCTTTCAAAGAAAATAACATGAGTGGAAGCTTCCTGAGCAAATATTGTCAGGAAAAAAAACAAACAACTTACAAGTGCATTATAAGCACTGCTACATACTATACTTATAAGCATTTCTACATGCAAAGAAGACTTGAAGGGAAATCCTAGGATAAATGAGATAATGTTAAGGAACTTGAGCTTATGCAAAGAAGAATGGGCATACCCACCTCAAGAATAAGATGATGCTTTTCTTGCACATAAAATATACTGTAGATTTTAACATAAGCCCAGAATTTAAGAGCACAGCAACAGAAACACAGCAAGCACTAGAATAGTAGTTGAAGCCATAGGAGCAAAGAACATGTCCCAAGATACAGCAGAGGTGGCAAATGACAAACCTGTGCCAAGTAGGAGAGAAGGTGCCCTTAGACACACCAAGGGAGGCAAAAAGCCAGAAAGGCAGCAAAGGCAGAAGAGTCTGAAGAGACACAGCCCTAAGGAAGAGGACAACAGCTCCCCAAAATCTGCAGATGAACAAGAAGATCAAAGAGAGGCATGGTTAATGAGGAAGTATTATGGCTGAGTTTAATGAAAGCAACAAGTTCTCTCACTATTAAAGAGAACAGAGAACACACAACTTCAAAAGGAGCTCTATTAGAAAGTCACTGCAAGACTATACCATTAGATCAGAGATGAAAGAAAGGTACTAGGAAAAACTGCAACGAGAAGAGACCAAAATGTTAAAATCAGCCAAAAAAGAACTGGTGTCAATGGGCAAAAAAAGTGGAAAGATTGGTATGTAGGAGGGTATTAAAAGATAGCAAGGATGTGGCAGCAAAGAGCAAGCCCTTGAAACTATATTCAGCTCCACACACAGGGGAACAAAAACAATAAAAACCCCCAAAACAAAAACAAACAAAAAATCCCCCACCAAACAACAACCAACCAAAGACAACAACAACAAAAAACCCCAACTACAAAAAGAGGAAAATGTCAAAGTTTGCACTTTAGGTGAAGAGAAAGTAATTTGAAATAAAGAATCTTATGGTCTTGATGGAAGAAAGTACATTTTCCTTGCCAGGAACCAACAAGAGAAACTTGTGACATGTTTGAAGGCTGTACAGCTTTGCTCAGAGTACTGCATACTCAAAAGGCATAGAGTTACACACTCATTCCAACAGAGAGGGTAGGATCAATCAATTTCAAAACTCAGATGTAAACAGAGCAGAAAGAAAGAGCAACAGCAGATTTTATGGAGTTGCTAGTCAGATCAAACAACAAGGAAATCACAGCAAGCAAAGAAATAGGCCTACAGTGGAAAGAAACAAGACAAGCCAGACAGGAGAAACAGAAAGCCATGGAGTCTTTCCAAAAAGTCTAAATAGAGAGACAACACTTTTACACTATCCTTCATGAGGTCAGTCAGAGTTCTGCCAAGTTGATCCCAGTATGAACTAAAGGATTTCACATGGAACCTGAGCTCATGACAGTAGTTTTTCTGTTTTATCACGGGATACAAGCTTTTAAGCCAGGACACCAGAAGATAAAAGGTAAAAAACCACTATTTCACCTAGACAGCAACATGTTTACATTTATTACTTGTTCAATTTAGCTAAAGAATCAACCTTATTAAAGATTAGAGTACCTGTTTAAACTGAGCTTTGTAATCTCGTATGAGTAAGCATTTCCAAACCCCAGGTTTCAGCTGTCCAGAGTCTTAGATAGATGTGCTATAGTTAAACCTGCCATGTCACTCAGAGGATCTGTTTACATGTCTGCAAGTCCCCCCTGCCTGCCCGCCACCAAAGTATCTATTTACTATCCACAGAAATTACTACGCAGCTCAGACCTGAGGAGTTCAGTTTTATCTTCACCCGTGTCTCTAACCTTCTAACTAGCACAGCTTGCAGATCTGACTTACTGCAAGCTTCTGCTGTCCCTGACAAGTGCAGTGGCAGACCCAATGACAAGCTTGTTGGACTTAGGATTTTAGTTCATGAACAGTCTTATTTAAACTGGGGATACAGAATTCAACATTCATACATGGTAAATCCATACTATTGAGCAGAACAGCTGAGTGCAAGAAACACTATGCATGTACCAGTTTCTCAATCTGCTCCAGTCTTAGAACCACACTGCAATGCTCACCAACCCATCTTTTCAAACAGGCTTTCTTCAAGTCCCATTAATTTTATATTTAGCATTTCACAGCAAGGTAGTTTCTACTTCCAAAAGTTTCTACACAAGTGGCATTGAGACCCGTATCTTCCAATAAAAGAGGCCATGTTCCTATGACAAGAAGTAGGAACAAACCCAGGAAATTCTATCCTAGAAAGCTCCCACATTTCAAAATTTAAGATCTTATTTTAATCCAACATATGGCAACTGTAAAATCCGGTTCATGAAATGGTAACTTGCTGCTGCCAAGTCTTCATATGTATTGTGACAACAGTCAATTCAGATTTCCAGTCAGTAGGGCTTCCCCATTGATTCCAAGATTTTCTTTCTTTCTTCTGCTGAGGGCATCTCTGGTTTCACACCACTTCTCTTCCTTTGCATCATAATGCCATGCTGAAAATAGAACAAAGTGACCATGAGAACAGATTTCCCTGAGCTCTGAATGAACAAGATTTTTAATAGAAAAATGCTTTATATATTAACTCAGGTACTCTAAAAGCCTGATTAGCTGATAACTAAATGTACTAATAGTTAGTTCAAGATATCTGATAGTTTACCTTGCTGCTTCAGAATAGAGTGCAATCAGTATTCCCATTACTCTATGCCAGAGCAATGCACAATTGCCTGTAAACAGGTTTTTTTTTTTGTAGTTTGCACAAGTATTTAAAGGCTAAGCTAAAACCTCTTTACTTCAATGGCATAAGGAAACAGCAGAAAACAGTTTAACTGCACGTAGATCCTCATGGTATTTCTCCACCACCAAATAAGCTTTATATCAGGTTAAAGTAAACATGATCCAAGCCAGTGGGAAACCAGATAACCTTACTTGCCTCAGAATTTTTTCACTGCATCAGTTTAAAAGAGAAATTATTACTAGAAATATGTGACTCAAGTTCTAAGGAAAACATCAGGTACTGCAAGAACACTGACTCTCAATCCAAGAGAGTAAACCCAGAACAATTAAGTGAAGTACTTTGATGTGCATGTGCTTAAGTCTTACAGCAATGCATACTGGGCTGACACTACCTGGGCTGGTAAGTTACCATAAAAACATTCTTAGCTGAGTTTGAAGGGTTCAGAAAGCAGGATGTCAGAAGTAACATACATAAAGCAAAGCAGGGAGCAAAATTTAGAAAGTTTACTGTGCTTACCCAGAATTTTCTGCAGTTTTTGTACTTCAAAAAGTAATCAGTACACATATCCTTGTTATAGTTGTTGTCATTCATACATTTTGTAGTGGCATCTGTTTCCTTTAATAGGGGAAAATATACTTCAGAGCTGAGCGAAGTTACTGTACTCAGTGTTTAAATATTTTAACAAGTCCCAGAATATCTATGAAGATAGGAGTGAACTCTTCAGATGAAAGAACACTATCAAAGAGAGCAAAGTAACACCTATTACAAAGGATCATCAGTACTTCCAAGCAGTGATTTAATTTGGAGATAATAGAGTACTGTCTGTACACTTCAGACAGTAATTGCAGAGGCCACAGAATATTTGTTTACAGTGATGCTTGGTATAACTCACAAAATACTTTTAAAAAATAACCAAGCTTGTCTAACCAGGATTTCAGGCTCTGGTTTTAGGGACAGAAAATTTAAGAGACTGTCAGCAGTTGTATTACTCCTATTTATAGGGAATTAACTTGTTATTTCACACTTATTATAATGGAAGATTTTCAGCCCTTCCCACCTTCAGACTCTTAAGAAACTTTTAATTCAAAGTGCTAGAATGCCAGTGTTCTACCCACAAAACAGTCCCCTAGAAAGTGCATTATTTAACACTGAAATGTACAGACAGAAATCAATCTCAATTTGATCATCTTACCGCTAGACATGGATTGATATCATGATCTCTAAGCTTTTTTGCATGCCTGGACATTCTAGAAAGACACTCGTACCTTGGCTAGAAAGGAAAAATAAACAGGTTAAGTATCTACTTTTAACAGTAACTCAGGATTAAGTCTGAATTTCAGGATGTAATAAAGGCCTTCTAGCAACACAGTTTTGTTATCTTAAAGAAAAAACTAAACAAAACCCAACCTTCTTTTGCAAAGTGTTGTTTCAAAAGTAGTAACAGCAAGACAACACTGGCAAGTTTAGCCCACCACAAAGACTGCTCACTCCCTGATAAATTCCTGCACAGAATGGAGCCACTGCAGCAGCTCTCACACCAGCCTGTGTCTCGTGGATAAGTGACCACGTGTAGGAGAAACTGCTCCATAGAAGCTGTTCACAGCCAACACACTGTAGACACTTCAATTAATAGTGTGTGGGAGGAATGTACAAGTAAATTTTTCCAGATTTGTCCCTACTCCTTAGCTGGATCACATCTGCATCGTCACTGAGCTTTCCCAGGTACAACAAGTGCCCACTATCTCCTGTGTTGCTACAGCAAATATTTCATAGAAAAAGAACTGGTTTCACCGCAAGGTGGGACCAGACCCACTTACACTGTGTATGAACGCTTGAATCACATTTCTTACCATTTAGCAGTTTGACACTGACTCTGAAGCTTGAGAGACACAGAGTTCAGTGCCAAGACTCTACACTGATCCAAGATGATGACATCAAGATGAACAGCAGACCCTCTTTCCCTTTACAGCTCCCTATACATTGCCTCCGGCACACATATGGCAATACAGGTATGTGTTCTAAACAAATACTAAATCTAGAAAAAAATAAATTAATGTTGACCAGATGACTGCTTGAATCAATGCAATCAGAATCACAGGGAGCAAATTCAAGTACTGCTAATGAAGGACACAACTTAATCTTGTTTTTTATTTTCTCAAAAAAAAAAAAAAAATCGGTGTTAATTCTTAACTTAGACCTGTTTCTGTGCACATTAGGGAATGATAAGTGCAAGTCTGCAGTAAAAAGCCTGTTTTGCTTGATAGCAGATTAAAAAAAAAATCAAATACTGCTCTTTGTAGCTCATAGAAAACCATGCTTTAGATGGGTTTTCTTCTTTGGGTAAAAGTAAACTATTCCCAGTAAACATGCCCTAGGTTTTACAAGCTGTGCACGTATACCTTCCTGGTACTTGGAGTTCTCTCTGCTTTGCATATGATCATCTTCTGCAAATGGGCCTTTTAATTAACAACATTGGGGAAATGCTTTCACTTCCTTTTGAGAACTATCCAGTGCTTAAGTTAATTTAACAAGCCAGGCAAATTTTCTCCTTTGTGATGGGTGGAAGTGCATTTTTGATTAGGCACTTCCAACTCAAATGGAAACACAAGCATGTACACTAGCATCATCACAGAGTTAAGAAAGGAGGAGAGAAGGGAGAAGTAGGAAGCAAAATCAGCATACCACAATGCCTCACCTAACTCACCACAACAGATACAAGACTTTTCGCTGTTTGCATGTGTCTGGTTTATAACTCTGCACTTCATTGCTGTTGCCGCCTAAGCAGACATGCCTCAAGGTGTACATTCTCACTCCGACTTCAGACTTACTCTCCAAAAGAATACTTGGGAGTCATAGGATGGGCCGTCATAATCAGTGTTCCTTATACAAACTGCACTTGACGCTTTCAGCTTGATTACACTACCAGAGTCTGCAACCGCGCCCGTTCTAAGGAACGATGCACACAACCCATTAAACACCTACTTAACGAATAAGCAGTTCAGGTTCTAATGAAGACTCACAGCTCGGAGCGGGCAAATGCTCAAACATTCTTAGTACAACCCAAAAGGTCTGATAGCTCCAGCGTGTGCTGCTCTCTCTCTCCCTCTCCGGAGTACTTCAGACTTGAAACATTATCAGCTGGAAGGGCAGGCGGGTCACGCCGAAATGCGGCTGTGTGACTGAATGAGCAGTTGGGCAGGAAGCAAGCTTCCCCCTCCTCCCAGGTTCTGCACATGTACGGGCTTCCCTTCCTGCTTTCAGATTACAGGTCAGAGCCCAACCACAACCGAAGGCTTGTCTATGCCACAGTTCTTAATTATGCTTTAACACATTAACAGCTGTAAACCGTACCACAGAGAACCAGGGCTGCTGCTGGCACTCTTTAACCCTGGGGCTTTTTCAGTTCATAAACAATCAGGGCACTTCGCTACAGGCTCCTGCCCATTGAAAAGTGTTTGGTCTGCTTTAAATGCACACAGATAGACACAAATTCGCTAATTATGCCGCAACGTAGACCAGCTCATTAAAACTCTGAACCCTGGAGCCAAGGCCGTACAAAAATTCCTACGGCACTTTGGGCTATTACGGCGGCGGAGGCAGGAGGAGGCAGCCGGCGGTCCCTGACGCTCAGCACCGCGGAGCTGCCGCCTTGCCCAGCTCAGCTTCCCGGGGAAGGCCGGGAGCCGTCCAGGTGCGGAGGCGAGGCCGGCGCCCCCCGCCCGGTCCCTGCTTCCCGCCGGCGGCGGAGCGGCCGGAGGCGCCCGGCGACCCCTTCCCCCGCCCCGGCCCGTTCCCCGCGGCCGCTCCCGCCGCCTCCCCTCGGCACCACCTGCCGCCAGGGAGCGGTGCCCGGGCCGCGCCGCCGTCGGGCCCGAGCGGGGCTGCCCCGGCCCGCGGGCGGCGAAGGTCGAGCGACACTTTTCTGCGCCGGCCGGGAAGGGCAAGCGGCGGGCGGGCACAGCGCGGGTCGCCGCCGGCGGCACTCACCTCCGTCCCCGGCCGTGTCCGCTGGAGCCCGGGGCGGGAGCGGGGCAGCCCGTCTCCAATTCGAAAGACGTCAGCGGCTCGGGCAGCGCGCTTAAGTACGGGCGCAGCCTACCCCGCTCCCGGCCCCGCGGCTCCCCCCGGCCCCGCGCCGCCGCCGCCCACGCCCCGGCGGCTCTGAGTGGCACGGCCGGGCCGCCAATGGCGGCGGCGCCGCGCCCGCCCCGGCCGTGAGCGGCGCCTCCTTCCACCAACGGGGCGGGCGGCGCGGGCCGCAGGCGCCGGCGGCGGGGCGCGGCCGCGGCCCTGACTGACTGGGGGAGGCGTCCAACCCGCGGTGCGTGTGGGCGGCGGGCGGTGTGGGCGCGGCGTGTGCGGCAGGCTGGGCTGCACCGCAGCGCATACACTACAATGGCTGCTGGAAAGACGGGAAAGCAAACAATTTCCAGGCCCGCCGCGTCCAGCCCGAAATATGGGGAAAAAATTACAGAAAAATCGGAGAACACTGTAAAGGGTGGAAACGGGGCGCAGAGGGGATGCTGAGGCTCCCGCGGTGAGTCTGCTGCGGGTTTGGGGGGCAGGCGCCGGGGTTTAGCAGGGAAATATCAGGGTTATTTAAATTATGAAGGGGGAGGAGGAGAAGGAGGGGGGAGAGGAGAGAGGAGCAGCGAGCAGTGAGGAAAAGTTTGTGTTAACCATCCCTCCCTTCCATCCCTCTCCCCCCATCTCCCGCAGCCCCCCGCCGCCCCGCGTCGGACCCCCCCGGGGGGAAAAGCAGGGGAGGGGAGCCGAGGCGAGCGGTGCCCCCCCCCCACCCCCCTTCGGAGGGAGAAAGAGATGATTTTGAGAAAAACCTCTCTCAGGAGTTTCCTCCACTCCTCCCCTCCCTCCCCGCGGCGCTCTGCTGGTTCGCGAGGAGCGGGCGAGGCGGCGGGGCTGCCCGGGGGACGGCAGGAGGGCGCGGGGTGCCCGCCGCCGACCCCCGCGGCGGCCCGGGCCCGGGGCCGCGGGGCAGGGGCAGGGGCAGGAGCGGCGCGGCCGCCCCCTCCCCTCCTCGCCTCTCCGGAGCCTGTGCTGTGAATGCAGTGACAGCGGCGAGAGCGGCGAGAGAGGGAGCGGAAGACATTAGAGACCGCGGTGCCGAAAAATGAGGGAAAAAATTAATATAAATTCGCCCGCCGCCTCAAACCGGACAAATTTCGCACAGAAATTTCCCCCGTGGACCCGGCTATCCGTGGGGTGTCCCCCGGACCTGGCGGCCGCGTCTTTGGGGGGATCCGGAGTGACTTTGGGGCACTCGACCCCCCTTTCCCGTCGTTTTTTGGACAAAAGTTTTTTTTTTCGTAATAAAGAAACGAATTTGCCTGCTCTCCCCCTCCGAGTAGCCCAGGAGCTTTTCCCTTCCCCATCGGTGTGTGTTTAGAGAAAAGTGTGAACCCAAGTAAGTGCTGAGTCGTGTTGCATTGGGGAGGGGGGTTTGCTAACTGAAAGCAGGAGAGATCCGGAGAGAGAGAGAGAGAGAGCAGGGACAGCTTGTTGTCAGTATCATAAACAACCAAAATGGAGGGAGAACTGAGGCATATAACAAAATAAAAATCAGAAAAAAATGCCAAAAAATACCTAAAAATCGGGGCTGCTCCCCCTTTTCTTCCTCAAGGTAACAGTATGAAACCCGTGTCTTCCCGAGACCATTTTAAGGTTTCAGGGAGCAAGGAGTTAATATTTATTATTTTTTTTTGTTGATGAATTCTTTGGAAAGGCAAAAGCCTCTTATAACTCGCCACCGACAATGAGAAAACGTGAAAATCCCTTTCAGGACAGAGAGGTAGGGGGAGATGATGGTGCAGAAAGTGTATAACTTGGGGGTAATGTGGAGTGATCCTAGATTAGATAAATGCTGGATGTGGTGCTTTATAACTTCCTTTTTTAATGCTTTTTTTGTGTGTGTGTTTTTGGGGGATTTGGGGAGATGGGGGCTCTTTTCTTTTCCTCTGTCTTTTTCTTTCCTTTTTTTTTTTTTTTTTTTTTTTTTCGGACCGGAATGTTATGCTTTTGTAGTGTCACTTTCCTGATCTAATTAGGATGTGTGAGGCAAAGAGTAAACCTTTCCGGTTTATAAAGTGCATTTTCGTTGCCTTTGAATTTCAAGTTTTCTTGGTGGCTCGCTCCTCTGTTTGAACTGGATTCTTGAGAGTGGTGTGGGGTTGAGCTAATGCTCCATAGGGAGAGCAGAGAGGGCTCGGGGGCAGGGCACCTCTCCTGCGGGTGGTTGCTGATTTCCCTGGCACGTTCAGTTCACCTGTTTGTCCTCTACAAAGAATGTATTCTGCAGCCTCCTCGTTTTATTTATATGAAATAATGATGCCTCATCTCGCCTCACATTGAAGTTAATGCGAAAGTGCTGCTGATGTTGGTTCCACGTGGGATCAGGGACATAGCAGGGCATTTTAAAGAGACAGCTTCTCTTTTCCTGGGGTTATCATCACCTCTGCAGCACCTCTGCCTCTGGCAGAGGGGTGCTTCGTTGTTTTTTTTTTAATGGAAAGGTATCAAATCGGCCCTAGTCTGATAAATTAGGGAAGGATAGCAGTGGGAAACGTGCAGAATCGTTGGGATCAAAGCAATTCTTTTGTGTGTAGCAGGTCTTCAGGGGAGTTTTCTTGGTGTGTCAATTAAAATGCTGTGTTTTGGAGAGTGTTTTTTGGATTGTATGCTGCAGAAATGAAATAGTCTCAGGTTGTATAATATTAAGTTCTAGTGCTGTTCTGCTAGCTGCGAATTCTGTGGGAGGGGATGAATTCCCTGTGTGTAGGGCAATTTCACAGACATTTTGTGAAAGTTGTGAAGTGCATTATTTTTACTTTGAATACATTCAGTTTTGTTGGGAACACTTGAGTTTGTTCAAAAGTTTATTCTATGCCTAAATCTCCTAAACCATTCCCAAAGGTTTTGAAAACACTGAAAAATAACTGTAGGTTTTAATTGGCCAAAGAAGGGGCTCTTTACAAGTACACCTTAGGTGTGTAGTTAAAACATGACTTGGAAGAATTGCCTCTGGCTTTATTTAAAGAAAGAAAAGTCATTCTAACTGTGGTCTGGTGTCATGTATATGTGTGCATGTGTGTATGCATGCATGCTTTTAGCATGGGTTCTGGCTGATACTGGTTTTTTTCTTAATTTTTAACTTGTAAATGTTTAACTCCGATGATGCGAAATGCTCTGCTTGTCTCTATTATCTCCTATGTATTTTAATTTTATTTTTGAATGTCCTATTTTAAAAAATTAGCATCCCCTCTTAACATGGCAATTTGATACCTTTATGAGGAGTTGCAATGTTGCCTTTACACTTGCTTTGGTTTTGGAGCCTTTGTACTTAGTTCTAGATTGAAAACTGAGTACAGGTATGCGCTTCTTGAGAGGGGAGATGGGCTGCTGGACTTGGATGGAGGCTATTGCAGCACATGTTTGCTGTGAATCTGTGCAAGTTGAGCAGGAGTTGTGATAGCCCTCTGTGTTGAATAGCCTGTGCTTGCAAATGATCTGTACCCTTTCTGCAAGGGTGACCAAAGAAACTTGTTGCCTGGGATAGCCTTGTGGTTAAAGATTTGGGCAGAAATCTCGAAGTTTTCCAGTGACTCACAGTTGTGAAAATTAAATCACATTAACTGCTCTTAAGTTAGAAAAAAGGGTCATTAAGGAAGAAAGATTAATCTTTTTGTATAAAGGAATGATATTGAATGTTTTTCCAAAACTGCCTTTTATGGTGTAGAGATCTTTTTTATAGTTAGTAAGAATTCAGACTTTAAAGTTCCTTTCTGAATATTTCTTAAACTGATCTATTATTTTTATTGACTGAAGTAACATTACCCTGGAATGCATAGAAATTTGATAAATTAATAGCAGTTCACCATATGTTGGTAGTTTTAATGTACCAGGGTAGAGAGACAGATGGTACTAGATGTGCAGAACTAACTTAAATAAACTAGTTAATGGTACTGAGAACTCTTCAAATGCTGTTTCTGTGACCATCAGTGTGAAGTGCTTAACATGCCTCTGCATTTTTACCTAATTTGGAGCTTTTTAATCATTAATATTTTAATGCTGAAAATAGGTATAGACACTGATAGTAACAATGTGAAAGAAGCAGTGTTGTGAAGTATCTTTCTTGACTTACACCTGTGTATTACAAAGTAAATTTGGTGTATCCAAGCATAGTACAAAATTCAGGATTTAGGGTGGAGAAAGAGGAAAGGGTGTTCTCTCAGAATTTGATACTCTTCTAAACTGGATTTAATTTTAAGGTATAATCCAGATGGAGATAATAATAGCAGAAAAGAATGTTGTTTAGGATTGTTTTTTTACAAACTTTTTTGTAGAAAACAGAATTCTTACAGTGAAGAAGTGTTTTTTAAAAAATAAAAATACAAAGTAACTTTCAAAGCTTCCTTGTTCTAAGAGTTAAGATAATCTTCTTTATTATGTATTGGTCTGATTCCATAGATGATACAGTTTGATTTTTTCAATATTTTCTGAAATTAAAACACCTGAGGAAACAAATACTATGGTCTGTTGTTGGTGAAGTTAACCTACTTTTTCTAGGTAAACAGGAGAGGTGTAAATGTATTGAAATCCTTTTTAGAGACTTACCAATCCTATCCAGTAATGTTTAAAAATTAATAACTACAGTATTCTACAACAGTTCAAGCCAATACAGGAATCTAAAGTGACATGCATTCAGCTTTCCTTGAATGCTTAGCTCAAATGTGTCTCTTGGTGTGTACTTTTAATTTAGTAATTATCCTGAAAAATTATTTTTCAATGTAGAACTTTTGAGATTTCAATTAAGAAACTTTTAAAAAGTTTCTTAAAAGGCACTGTGCACAAAGTGCAGCCACTTCTAATGGTTGTCCATCTCTGCAGCTGGTTAGTCAAAATGGTGCCCTAAAGTCTCCTCCTTTCAGAGTATTGCATGTGTTTTAAAATTAATATGGGTTAAGGAGGGCACTACTCATGTTCTAAATAAACCACTGTTTGTAGCTGTTCAAGGTTATTTGGTAAAATAAATGTTTTTACTTCAGAGTCTAAACCATAAGTTTTTAAATTTTCTGTCTATAACCCCTTATGTTGTTAAAACCAGTTTTTGTGAACAAATACTTTTTGGTAGAGTTCTTGAACAAATTTTTATGTTTACCAAGCAGAAATATTCTGGAAAACATGAAATCTGTTCAAGTACTTAGACCATTCTCAAATCAGTGTAGACTTAAAAGGAGCTAGCAGTGACCACCACTGAAGTGATAGAGAATTTGCTTTCAAGGAGTTATTCTCCAAATATCTGCTCCTAGTAAGGATTTAGCTTGCAGAGCTTTTGAAAGAAATGTGCAGCATTTATCCACTGAACTGCTAAGCATCTTTAACTGATTACCAAATGTTTAGGTAGCCTTAAAAAACTATTTAAAATAATTCAAATAATAGAACAAAGTAACACTTGTATTGATCAAACATAAAATGTTTAAATTTCTGAAGCATTGGAGTGGGTTTTTTTGCAGTTATCTG